GGAGTGACAGCATCAGACCGCCAATCAACAGAGGTGGCAAAAGTACACACATTTGTTACCCAAGTAGAAGTACACATACCTGTGTAAAAGAAATGTCTGGGTAAAGGTAGAAGTACTGATTCAAATTAAAAGTACAGGCTCTGAAATGTACTAAAGTATAAAAGTAAAACGTTGCCCTTTGAGGGGCATTTCTACCAGCTGTTTCTGTGCAAACCTGCAGTAACTGTTCCTTACATCATATTAATATATTTTCAAGATTATTAACCCATTTTAACTTCAAATGAAATAAAAAAATATACCAAATCATTATCTAACAAGAACATATTTCAGACTAAAACCAACAATGACTTGCCTCTGCTCACAGTTAATGTCTGTAAGTCTCCAACATGGATCGGCGTATTTGTCTGTGCTATAGACCTCAGTTGTTGTTCAAAAACGATTAAAAAGCACATCAGTGAAACACCGTGCTGCACTGGGTGACATATTTCTTCATTACAAAACACCAGACCAGTTCATATGTTGCCCTAAAGGCTTCAAATGACCATAACCTTTTATAGCGTCTGAAGTAAAGCAAGACTCAAATGTGCATGTGCGAGATCTCTGTGAAGCACGAGAAGCTAATGGACTATAAAAAATGAACATGTCACCTAGTGCAGTGGTGTGCACATTTCAGAATAAGTGCTAAATAAAAATAACCAATAATTCCCAGGAAATGTAATAAAACTGAAAGTAACGAGTCTGATTTGAAAATGTAAGGAGCACAAAGTGCAGATATTTGTGTTAACATGTAGGGAGTACAAGTAAAAAGTTGTCAGAAAAATACACACTCAAGCAAAGTGCAGATACGTGAAAAATCTACTTAAGTACAGTAACAAATACTTCATTGCTTCCCAAATAGACTATTAAAAATGACCAGAAAAGAATACCACTTGTACACACATCAATGTGATAAAATCTACCAAAAACAACAGAAATCACTTCTGGGAAAAATGCATTTGATCTGTACTTTGAGTTTTCATTTTGGCTCCAGTTCCATCCACTAACATGGAGGAGGTGGGATTTATGACCTATACTACAAACAGCCACCAAGGGGTGATTAGTTCTTGGTGGCTTCACTTCTGAGAGCTGTCAGGCTGTTCATCTTTTATACACTCAGTAGTAGAGACCAAAAACAGAGCTAAAACAAAATTAGTATTGTCCTTACATTTGCCAGGTGTCCTGAAACTCATAATGAATAAAAATGAATAATAATGAAGAGACCACGGGAGGAAATCAGGTGAGGTTGTTACAGAGCAAATCCATGTAGGGAGGTAGCTGGGTTGTATCAGAGGGTCAAAAGAAGCAACCTGTTAGTTTACACTGGTGATATTACACCAGTGTTGTGTTCACACTCTCTTTCTACTGCCCACATGTCCAAAGCAAACCACAGATCCAGAGATCTCACACAGAGACTAACACCAACAATAACTTATGTGTACTCATCCTAATATCTGTGAATCCATCAATCATTCAGCTTATTTGTGTGTGCCTTAGACCTTCCTAAAAACACACCAGTGAGGTACAGCACTGCACCAGGTGACATGTTACTTCCTCACAAAAACGTGTGTTGTGTACATTGTTGGTTTTAGTCTCTATATGGGGTTTGTGGAAAATATCAAGATGAGAGAAAGTAACCAGCCACATCCTTTAAGCAAAAGAAACCATTTAAAAATCTGAAGGAAGTATGTCACAAAGCTGAAAACACCCAAAAACCTAGTCCAGTTGATTTTTCTGTTTTTTCAGCTTACTATGACCTGGATGACTGAGAATCTGCACGGACATATTGTCACAAAGCTGATAACAGGGATTTCTCATCAGAGAGAAGTCCTTTAAAGCAGGACCTTTAAAAAAACATTCATATGTGATTCATGCTAATTAATACTATACAAACATCTGTATTGAGGAGTATATCACTTTTCTCTCAACACTGAGATTATCCTTTACAACAAGAGAGCGTCTGGGGTTTTTCTTTCACAAGTATTTTGTCTGTGTGTTCAGGATTTCTGTCCTGTCAAACTGTACAATTACTTGCATCCATGATAGTGGGAGAAAATATTAAATTTGATTTGAATCCACCCTTGAAGCTGTATTTGTCGTTTACATTGAATAGTCTGTCAGGAGTGTGTTTGTGCTTTCTGTAAGCACGGGTGTTTAAAGGTTCATGTGGCATTTGTGTCTGTTTTAAGCACATGCTTTTTAAAGCATTAAAGGTGATTTATGTATTTGTTTCTACATGTTGTCTAAGCCAATAACATATGAAGCAATAAAATCATTGTAATATAATGTCCTTGTTTCATTCTAGCCTAAAAAAAAACCATGACATTTTTGGTCATAAAGCCCTGGCTCTAGATTTGATCCCATAAACATTCTCATCTTCCAGAGAGGGACAGTAAATTTTACCATTATAACAGCTTCCAAGTCCAGGAATCACCCTATCTGACTTCAGCTGCATGTATTTGCATGGCAAATGTATGTACTGCAGTAAATCATCTCGTCATCTGTGTAGATCACGTGCCTGATCTCTGCCTTGGTAAATTACTGTGACCATGCAGCGTGAGTGTGCTCATCTCTCGCTCTGGTTCTTATTGGTGTCTCGTTGCTCTAACAGCCAGCAGATTTGGTGTGGTGTTTATAGAATTATCCTCACAGTGGCTGGGTATACAGATGGGGAGGACTGACCTGCTGCGACCTTGGAAGAGTGCCCTGGCGGAGGACGACGGCGACCTCAGGATGAGCAGGACATGCTGCAATGCAGCAGAGCAGATCAGTGGTGCTGCATTCTCTCACCCACACACATATAAACTGCAGCTCACAACAAACTCTTCACACACACACACACACACACACACACACACACATAACATGCACAAAAGCACACAAATCAGTATAAACACACACACATACATGCTCTCAGTTTTCTTCATAGATAAGGTGGCAGAGGTGTGTCTACATCAACCTGCACACACTACCCACACACACATAACATGCACAAAAGCACACAAATCAGTATAAACACACACATACATGCTCTCAGTTTTCTTCATAGATAAGGTGGCAGAGGTGTGTCTACATCAACCTGCACACACCACCCACATGATATGGCATACTGAACTGCACACACACGCACATGATCACACACGTTCTTCCATTCTCACTCATAAATTCACAGATGTACACCTTTGCAGAATGCTTGTACACATAGAAACACACTGACAGAGTACAGAGGAGTGGAAGTAACATATGGAACTAATAAACTGTCAAATCTACGAGCTTAACATATCCTGACAATATACTGCATCATGTACGCATAACCATTAGATTAGGTGGTCAAAAAGCACATTATAGCACTATATACACTACACACACATAAATATATACACTAAAAATAAAGCACTGACACCCTTCCTCTGTGCTCTTTTGTCTCATTATATACTTAATGTACAACAGCAACACTGGGGGGGAAAGCACACCTTTTTCTTTATATCTAAGCACCGTCCTTTCAATCACACAATCAATGGGATTTTTTTTCCTTCACTGCAATAACACTTAACACTTTATGGCAAATTCCATCACCATAAATCTCCCCAGGCAACTCAGCATATGTAACAGTACTCCCAAGACGTCTGATTTCAATTTCAGCCAAGCACAGACCCCCATAAAGAGATTTATAGGGGTCTATTTATCGGTGGAAATGGGTAAATGTGCTAATAACTCAGGGCAATCACACTGAACCAGATCAGCCTCAGTTTGCCTTTACTTCCATTATGAGTGTACTGGTAATTGTTCAACTTAATACACAATAATGCACACACACCCACAAGGACAAACCGGTATTTGTGATGACACTGCCTGTGTGGTTAAAGTCCAGTACATATTTTATTATCCGTTTGTAGCATAAGATTCCAGTGTTGTCTAAAACTTGTTAAAATGCACTGAGTGCCACCACTGCTGTGGATAACACGTTCCTTCAATACAACCAACATGGACATTAAAGTTTATTAAATCAGGCCATTCTGCTGCTACTCACTACAGCACCAAATGTGTATTAATCCACAGCTGAAAATAGTTCCTAGTAAATGCTTTGCTTACTCCTGTTTGAGTCCCATCTGCCAAAAGCTACAGAGCCCAGCTGTTTCAGGAAGTTTTCTTTCAAAATGAAAGCATATACTGTATTTGTGAACCATTTTTAAAGATTTACATATTATGAAACACCAGTTCTGGCTCTGAGTTCCACAGACACAACAGAATATTCAGAAAAAATTAAAATGTGAACTGAAAAACTATTTTGTTCACTATAATTAAAAGTAAAAAATACTGTCAGACACATTTTTTAACCAAGACTTAGAACATACATGCACAAACACACAAGTGCCAGAAATCCTTAGTGGTGCAGCAGATGTTATACCACAGCTGGAGTGAGCCTGTTGGTCAAGATGCAAAGGAACGTGACGGGTGCAGAAAACGACTGGTCAGTAATTTAATAGGACCCTCTTTCCAGCTTGACTCTACTGTCTCCCACCTGACAGGATTAGACGTGGCAGCATGTGACGGTGTCACGTTTGGTGGCCAGCGTGTTTTAAGTAGTGCTTGATTACTGGTTGACAAAATGTGTATATTTGTTACCACAGGAATTCAAACAACTGGGAACCAACTTACACTCTGGATTGCTGGATGTGACTTATAGAGTTTTCCTAATCAGCTTCACCACATGTCCAATTTGATCTTTGACTGCAGGATCACAGGTCAGCACACACTCCCGTGTTGGAGTCATTTAGGCACACCGAAATAAAGCCTGAACAAATAATGCACTTTTACATAAAGAGCTCAGTTTATTATTTGATATATATCATATGCATCTTCTTATAATAGTTCTAATACCAGTAAGTCAAAAATAATAGTTTAATATATATGCATGTATATATATGTGTGTGTATATATATATAGCATGTACTGTATGTATATAAAACTAATCCAATAATCTACTTTTTACTTTCTTGTAAAAAACAACATGGAGAAACATATAATCTTCTCCCCAGCTTTGATATAGGTGCTTTAAGGGAGCAAAGATAATACAAAAAAGAAAGTTTACACCTGAACATTGCATCTTATAGAACTAGAACATCTGTCAGCAGCTAGTAATGGTGACTATCTTGGTTTAAGACACAGGAAAAGGTTGTGTTTTATCTTCTTTGCTAGAACATCTTTGACAAATACTGTATGTTTTTGTTTTATTTTTAAGTTCAGTTGAAATGGCTGAAAAAAGTATTAGATTTTAACAAGGAGAGAGAGGTGACAATGGTTGGATATGGTCAGCTGGATATGGAGACTGATTTACAGAACATTACATTACACCAGTCTCATTGTACACTTTGGATGATGAATGTCTAAAGATGAAGGAAAGGAGGGAGAGAGAGTGTGTGTGGGAAGGGGGGCGGGACAACAGAACAGAAGGGCCTGGTGAGGGGAACAGAACGAGAAAAAGAGGGAAGTGTGTAGGAAAATAATCGAAGTTTCGAACAGTGGAGGAATAGAAAGTTCCATTTCTGTGTTTCTCCACCAGTCATCTACATTTGTAAACAGAGGGTAGCAGCACAAACAGTGCAGAGGCCTCTCCATCTCCTCTCATTGATCCCCAGTGTCCCTCCCTTTCTCTAACTGCTCTCCGGGAGGTAGCTGTGTCACATTTGGCAGGGAGAGATATTCACTCTAATCTGTTTAGTTGCAGCACTGTTCAAGAGTTTTACCAACTGTACTGATTCCCCATCCCTATATCCCATCTTTGCTCAAACTCTCGATATGTACAAATAAAAACATGGAGGAAGGCAGTTTCAGGGCTGTGGACATGGATGAGGCCATGGATGACAGACCATCCGGAGATGTGGAGAGCAGCACCCGGGGGTCCATGTGTCTATCAAGGCCAGAGATGCAGGAGGGCTGCACTGCACCAACCCCCACCCTCCCTTTGTCTGAGGAGCCTAGCTGGTCAAGTTGGGGTCAAGAGGAGGCATCAAAGCTGTATGAGAAAATAAGAAAATAATTATTACAATATTACAAAAGTCGTAAGGCATTACTGACTGTTGACTTCGGAGGATGTTCCACAAATTCTGTACAAACTATAAGCAAATTTATACAACTTCACAGAAAAAAAACGTCAGCTACAAAATTTGGTTCCATTTTCTAACAAGTGGTACCATTAGGGTTAATAGACTGTAACCAATTCTGGTTAATGGACTGAAGATAGTAATAAGACCCATTATAAAGAAGGAGTCTGACTTTTTCATAAGTCATCTTTTCCCCTTTCAGCATTTATAAGCAGTATGTGCACATTTAATAAACAGTTTATAAATACTATAATACAGTTACAAGCAGGTAATGTAGAGTATTTGTTAACAATTATCCTATTATTATCATACCTGTTTATACAGCAGCCTCCACTTATGGGTGCCCATAGGAGGAGTTATTGCTGTTGACAAATACAGTACATGAATCAACTAACTGCTCACAACTACATTATAGTGTGTTACATCATATCACATGAATATGAAGATGATTATGTACTGCTTATACATGCTAAAAGATGGCATTATAGTTGTCTTACTAAAAGGGGGTTAAACTGGCAGATGCATCCATTTGTTGTAGCAACACGATCATAGATAGCAAAGGGCTTTAGGGGAAACATATTGTCTGTGTGTAAATTAACAAAGGTAATTCATGAGCAGTTTAATGTGTAGTAATGTGGCTACATCATGAATCTCTTGATATGAGTTGAGTTTTAGGTTTAATTAGGCTTAATACAAAGTCTAACTTCTGAAATCAGGCATTTTTGTATGGATCTTTGCTGAATAAACTAGCACCACTAAGACGCTATGCGGCAATGCATTAGTCTGGAAGTATTACCTCATACTGATTTTGTAGTCTGGAAGTATTACCTCATACTGATTTATACCCAGGCTTTAGCAGTACAAACATATCTTTTCTTCCCTAATAGCCTTTTTCACAGAAGACATTTTGACTTGTAGCGCAGGTGTTATGATGGCCCTACTCCATAGAAGTGTCACAGTAAGCCATTACAGTGTGACAGTGAGCCAGCGTGAACAATACCAGGACCCTGAAACTGAAGCAGCTACAGTACATGGAATTCAACCATCACTACACCTTTGTTTTTCCTACTTTGACATGTCAAAATGTCTTCTGTGGACAAAGACTAATTTGCCTGTATTCTCTCACCAGATAAGTCCAGGTCAGCAGCCTCTCACAGCAGCACAAATCCTAAATTTAACATTGAAGGTAATTTTTTTTTTGAAGGCTTTTGAAGGACTGACAGGATGAAAATGCTAATGCGAAGACAGTGGAGGAAAACACATCAATACACAAACATAAAGTCAGCGTAAGAGTAAACAACCATGTGAATGTGTTTCACTCATGCCTGTGACTGTACAGTACTCGGTGCTTTCTGTACCAGAAGTGGCTGTACTCCAGGGATATGTTGGTCTTGTCTTGCAGTCATTAAATATTAATACAGCCATCGCGCCCTCCCACTGGGGCCTGATTGAAGACGTAGGGTGGCTCACAGGAACAGGATAGGGTCATCTCTAACTCACTGTAAACCCACTGTGATTACACCTGGATAACACCACGCATGCAAACGCATTACTCAGCTGGAGCCAGTACACTGTACTCACTCATAGTATAACCCTGCAATAACACAGGATCACAACAGAGTTGCTGATCACCTGCTGATTAGTAAGCATTCCTACTGTATATTTCATAAAGTCCTGACTAAGATAATTCTGCTTGTCATTACTTAATGTAAATTTAAAGTATCTTCCAACCCAATAATTAAATGCAAATAGGTTTCAAAACTCCAGCTGAAGGAAACACACTGTATGGTAAAATGCAGTAATGGGGGCTAATTACAGGATTATGGGCCCTTGTGAAAAGAACAGCAACCTTCACTGGCTGTTCTTCTGCTTTCAATGACTTTAATTAACATAAAATAGGTTTATGAAAAGAAACGCTGTGGAGAGGGGTTCTTACCTGTCCCATAGCTTGACATTTCTACAGTTGGTGGGGCAGCAGCTGGCTGATATCAAAGCTGTGATGCACAGAGAGAATAAGAGAGGAAAGAGACAGAAGAAGAGAGCAGTATTAAAATGTGTTGTGCTGACAAGAGATGAGCGCTTCATTAATCTAATGATTTACTGTAGAGCTGGTGTCTGTTTGTTTATACTCCCAAAACAAAATAACTCATAAATAAAACATGCTGATGAAATACTGCAACTTATGTGACATTTTGGAAAGCACACTAATTGGCTTTTTTGCTGAAAGTTAGAGGAGAAGATAGATATCACTCTCATGCCTGTGCGTTAATGGACCTATAGCCAGGAGGGGATTAACTGGAAACAGGAAGAAAGGGCTAGCCTTGCACTGTCCGAAGTTCAGCTAGCCCGTGTGGTGTTTCTTGGTGAATATTTTTGCCCACTGCTTCTGTACAGCATGCTGGGAACTCCCTAATAGAGTTAACAAGAATTTTAAGTCATTATTTGCTAGACGCTGTTGTTCACCAAATAGTAACAATGTGTAATTCTCTATAAAATCAGAAATGATTGTTTTCAGGTTGCTGTTTGCTATAGAGATATAGGTCTTATAAGTTAACTGATGAACTTTAGATGTGCTAAGTGCCAAATTTTTTCACTTTGGACATAATCAGGCTAGCTGTTTTCCTGTTTCCAGTCTATATGCTAGGCTAAGCTAATTACCTCCAGGCTCTAGCTCAAAACTTAATGCACAGACATGAGAGTAGTAACAGTGTTCTCATTTAACCCAGTTTTGTGTGTTACATCTTTTGAAACTATCTTTTATCTTTTTCTCTAAACTCAAGTTACTGCATGATATTAAAATATTTAGCTACATGGGCAGGCTGATGCACTTTTAGAAAGGCATATGATAGGGAATGCAGCACGTCACGCCGTGTTGAATTTTGGGTAAAGGTGCGATTTTAGAGGGATGGCGCTGATTACCTACCATAGAGCTATGCACTGTATACATCTATAAGTTCATTTCAAAAAATAAATACTATCCCATAGAGCTACATACATACATGCTTCGACTACATCCAAATATCCACTTTAGTGTTCAGTTTGAGCCCAGACAGGACAGAAATCTGCAGTGGTTGTGTCGTCTGCCGACAGCTGGTGCCTAACGTTAGTTTCTGAACCGAGTGCCGAGATCAAGGTGCAGTCATTTTTCAGTCTGCCGCTCTTTTCAACGGGATCTCTAGGTCCACTATGAGTTAGCTGCAGTCAGCTAAGGTTATCCACCATGAATTACCACAGTCAGTAAAGTGAGATCTAACTGATTTAAGAAACTTTTTATACAGCGTCTCCCACCCAAAATGGTGCCCTTGTCCCAGCATTCAACATGGCGTGACGTACCTTCACATTCTCTATATTAATTTAAAAGGCACCTCAGGTCCATGGTTACCACTTTGTGTTGTGTTGCATTTAAAGCAGCATTTGCCCATCATCTGTTTTAATCTCTTCTGCAGCAGTGCAAGTGACAGCAAGTAGAGTGGCAGAAACCTTGACAGAGTGGGTAAATGTGAACCATAATGTACACAGTATATCTCAACTTTAATGTATCAAATCTTAGACTAAAAGATAAAGTTCAACACTGACAGGTGACAAAGATGGCCAGACATTAAACCAAAGGTTTATTCTGCTTAGGGAATGATCGATTAAAGCTTCCACTAATGATCCACTAAAGTCATGCTCTCTCACACTCTGATATCACACACACTCAACTTTACTGTCTTTAAGCACAAGGCAAGCTCTTTACTCTGTTGACATCCTGGACCAAAGATTGCTTTGCTGCTTTATTTTCACTTCTCAGGATAAACATTCCTGTCAAACAAATGGTGATAAATCAAGGCTGTGTTAAAGCATAGAACATACAGTGTTTGCTCCCGTACTGTACTCTGTGAATAGTTCTAGGTCCAGTTAAGCAGTGCAGAAATGCCTTTGCTTTAAGCAATCCAGCCTAAAAAGATATCCCTCTTTACCTCCTTTGCCCTTCAAAACAATTCTTTTATCCTTGCTGCTCTCCTGTTCTCTCACTTCCTCTCTCTCTCCAACAATGGTTTGCTCCTCATGAGTCTATAATCATATTTTCAGCACATTTCCTCTCCTTGCTGCACTAACATCTCATATTAAAAATTCATAACACTCTTGTGACCGTTGAATCCTGTAAGGGACTCCAGTAGCCTCCTTCCCTGTGTTCCCTGCCCATTCTCTCACTGCGTCTTGATGGGAGGAGGGGAGGAGGCAAAACAGCTCAGAGAGATATGAACACTCCTTTAAAAAGTGGGAGGTATGCAGCAGTGGGCTGGAGGGTGCTTCCATTTGAAAGTCAGGGTGTGTGGAATGGGGTTGATTTCACAACTGAAGCAGAGCTCACACACCAGTTAGAGAGCGGTACATGTACAATCACATCTCACTTCTTCCTTAGACAACAACACAAACAAATGTGCAGAAAGTCTACAGGAAGTGAAGCTGATGGCTGGTACACTGGGAGGCAGGACTTTGCTGGATCAATACAAACAGTGAGTGACCTAACAATATCCCAGCAGTTTCTGATTATGGTTTTGGATTGAGGCAAGAAAAGGTTTAAACAAGAATGAAAAAACAATTTAAACTATATATTTTGGGAATAATCTAATCCTAATAAATCAGCTCTTGATTTGTTTGCTATATATGAACAAAATTAAAATTAGGCCAAATATCTACAGTCTAATTAGTTTGGTGAGCTCTAGATGAATTTTCATAACAAACACATGGTTGGTACCCCTGAGCGCAGACCTTTATCTTGGATGTCAGCATTAATTTGAACCATGCTTGATGCTTTCGTTCACTGTAATATAAACTGATGTCTGTGGAGAACAGAAGGTTTGCATTGGAAATGGCTTTTGTAGACGTGTTACCACAAAGAGAAGAGGAGTGCTGTCTTTAACTACCTTAATGTGGTTTTTACTATCAGCAGTTTCTACAGCGCTGGAAACTTGAAGGGAAAACACAAGTAGCCCAAGCTGAACAATCACAATGGCAGTCTCTCTGTGGTTCCGCTGCAGCCTGACATGCAGTTATATTTATGGGGAGCTGCATACCAGCATAGCTACAGTGGCTTTGTATTGTATGTAGTCTAATGCAAACACCCAGTCACTTGAATGCTATGCTCACTTGGAGCATGAGTTTTCAAGTTTCCAGGCTTACTTCTCCATTGTGCAGCCCACTGAGGTTTTATTCTGTGAACTGTAATACGTTAGACAGTAATTTTAATTTTAGAGATTAAATGTAGTTTTCAAAACCTCATTAAGTAGAAATTATGCGTGCCTGATAAATGATATGATGTCATATTGCCACATTTTCGATTTATGGGATTTTTTACGTTTTATGAATCACAGTTTGTCAAAACTAAATATCACTGACATAATTAAGAAATACAGCACATTAAACTTTACTACATTTTTCTCTTTAATATATGGACTAATTAGTTTTCCAATGACAGCTGTGTTGTGTTCTTCTTCACTGTTGTGTGTAGCATTACCTTCTTCCACAGTATAAATAGACAAGCAAGACTATCAAAAAGCACATGTCTGCGTCTGTCAGGAGACCCCCATTCTGCATATCTGTCAAATGTCTTCCAACACAACCACACAGAACGCGTACTGGAAGTGTAGCTGTTTAGATGGTCCATTGAAAAGAGGGACCTGAACATGCTCAGATAGCTCAATACAAATGCAGAGTGATCTGACAGTGGCGTCCCTGCAGTGTCTGAATGTGGTTTTGGATTGATCGCTGAGTTCTGAAGCATGATTTTATGATTTTGCCATACATTGCTTTTGCTTAGTGCAAAATAAAGTGCCCACTATACCTTATGATTTTTCATAATGAACATTGTCATCACCGTACTGTATGAAGGTTGGCACCTCTCTGTTCCTGAGATGTTTAGGTCAGTTTCAAACATGTTTGATATTTTTGTCTCACTGTCTTCTCATTTCTGTCAGTCTAATAGTATAACTGCTCTGATATTTTGTGACTTGAAGACAACTAGTAGTGTACCTCTAGAAAATATGGCAGCGAAGAGAGACACTGCAGTGGTAACAATACAGTTTCTTGTTCAACCTACTGTATCAAGCTAACTCAGTTCTCGGTCTTAGGACTCAGACATCAATGGCTCAAACACAAGAATGATTAGCTTAAATGGATTTGTTGTCTCAAGGTCAGCAGTCACGCACATACAGGTCACAAGATTACAAACTGCTGTTGTGTGATGGAACAGTCCAGTTAACATGCACCATCTGTGTGCCAAAATCCAGAAAATCTCTTTAGAGTCGGCATAATCAGTGTTTAACGTACAGTGCATTTTCCAAATTCCAGCCAGTGTGTGTGACCTCTTAAAAGGAGAGTTATAATGTAAGAAAACATACAGTGCACTTGGAGGGTGTTTGCTGATTCAGTTATGGGCAGGGCATTAAAACCAGAACTGGATTTAACAGGATGTGACACATATATAGAGAGAAGGGCCAGAACAAGGGTATATAAATAATGTGATTACTCCAAAATAATGTGAGGCCTAAGCTCCCTTAAGTTCCACTTCTGTACACCTGAGCTCATGTGAAAGGCTTTAAATTTCCCCACAATGAGATCTGTGAGATTGGCTTAGGAAGAGTTGCTCCCACACTGAATAAATCACCGTTATGGGGGGGGGGGATCCTTCTTCCTCTACAGCCAGACACCAATTATTAACTCTATACAGGTCATAATTATACAGTTCATAGAAGTAGAGATCATTTTCAGAGATAATGTTAACACAATCAGACCTCCTTTGTTTGATGAAAAGCAAGTCTGCAAAAAATTATTCAAGGAAACTGGGATCAGAAAAAACTATAATGAAGATTTAGGAGGAAAACATTCTCTTTTCACTGCAGCATAATTTGTCAAAATCAGTAATCAAGTTGTTATTGATGTCTCAGTCAAGCCAGTAAACACATGAAGTGGCTCTCCTCAGGGCAGCTCATCTCTCAGTCCTCTTTGATCT